AACAGTATTTGAGTACATTTTGGTAATACAGAAAAGGTAAAATGTGTTGTCTTACTTTTTGCTGCTTTAAAGCAGCAGATTTGGAGGGACAGTGATTTGATTTGGTGATTTGAGTCACTGTCCCAATTTGATTCAGCCGAATGAGAGTTGAAGACTTGGGACCAAGTTAGAGATTTGGCCATAGACTGAACAGGCAGCAGTCCTCAACCATGCTGGACAGAACTGCCTCCAGCTGGTACATCTGATGTGGGCAGAGGAGGGAGGGAAGGGGTGGGGGTGAAGATGAGCACCCCCACAGCGAGAGTGGGATTGAGAGTGGAACAGCTGCTCAGCTCAGGCAGGGGGGCACAGGACTTGGGGAACGGGGCTGCTGGTCTGGGAGGCCAGGGGAGTGGGCACGTGCCTCCAGATCTGTGCGGGGTGGGCTGAGCTGGGCTATGCTCCAAATGGGCAGCAGAAGGTGCTGGGAGCAGGGGCTCTGCCCTGCTGCTGCTTGTCCAGCTGGGGGGCAGGGGGGAAGAGGGGGATGCACAATGCAGGCATGTCTCACTCCCAAGTGGAAGGTGCTGGGAGCAGGGGCTGTACCCTGCTGCTCACCCAGCCAGGGTGGGGAGGCACAGGATGGTGCCGCAGACAAGCGGCGCACAGTAGTGGAAGCTATTCCAGCCACCTCGCACCTGGACAAGCCCTGGCTTCACCCTAGCTGGGCAATCAGTGGCATGGCATGGTGGTGGGCACATGCACCTGGATCAGGGAGGGGCCAGTGGCAGAGGCTATGGGAAATTTTAGGCTGGCTGCAGCCCCCCCCACAGCTCCTGCTCCACTGCGCTCTGTGGGGCAGGTAGACCCAGGGCTGCGGGCCTGTGCCCACTCTCGTGCCTTACTGGACTAGGTGTGTGGCAGCACACAGTGGCAGGAGCCTCCCTCCCCAAGTCCTGCAGCTCCCCCACTCTGGCTGGGAAGCTTATCCCAGCCCCAATCCTTCCCTCCCCGCTCTGCCCAGCACAACAGACTTACCAGCTGGAGGCAACTGTTCAGCGTGGTTGAGGACTACTGCCTGTTTAGTCTATGGCCAAATCTCTGAATTGACACCAAATTGATTCGGACCCTTTAATAGGTCTCCCAATTTGATTTGGATTTGGCCGCTGAATCTCCTCCAAATAGAACTGGCTACTGAAGCTTTGCCACAGCCCTATTATAAACCATCTGTTTCCCCCCTGTTCTCTGCTGGAAGACCACCTGCAAAAACATTCTTAGAAATACTGATGATGAGAGAGCTTAAAATCAGAGCTCAGAATATACTTTTTCACAGTGCAGCAAGGTCCTTGGAGGCATGTAAGAGTTTCAGTCAGATTGCTTGAACTTATTTCTGTAGATGCTATTTATTTCCTACACACTTGTCACTTCCTAATCTTGTGACCAATCTTGACCTAGGCACTAAATTACCAGTAGGATGATCTGAGAACTATTAAGTGCTGCTTTGTATTTGGTGTTGGGGATGAAAGATCAGAAGCAGGTTCTCCCCTTCCTGCTTCATGTCAGTTTAAATGTTTTTCCTAAAATGTAACAAGTTCAAACAAGTTACATACATGCAATTACATTTTTTGAGGGGGAAAATGCTTAAACTGCATTTCATGTACATCAGATGCTAGGGGAAAAGCCCTACTGAGACAACAGGAAATTGTCCGTTAGGTGTAACAGGGCCAGTATTTTAATGGAGGCAGTAGATGGACAATTTTGGAAGTGCTGTGTAAGTTGTATTTAGATCTGATCCTAAAAACACTGACTGCTGTTGGGACTGTCTACATACTATCACAAGCATGAATAGGCGCAGCTATGAAAGAAGCTTTTCTACACAAGCTGCAGCTTCTGTTTCAAATGACTTCAGAGATGGGAAGGGACAGGGTTATATTGAAAATTCAGGATTTTATTTAAAAACTGACCAATAAAATGTCTTTGCAGAAATGTGACGAGTGCCTGCAGAAACACTCCAGCCTTTCCTCAATTCATAATCCTTGCTCCAACATGTAAGAAATGCCTACAATGTACATAGTCTGGAGTTGAACTGAATTTTCACATCTTGAGCAGTTTCAGAATCAAACAGCATCTTTTGGTCTTTATTCTAACAAATAATACAACCTAAAGTTACTGTTAGTGAAGGTGAGTTAAGAATATGGACCACACGAATAGTAAAATGCAAAAGGTGACAATGTTTCCATGATGAGTACAAACTGTTTGGAAGGAAAGTAAAATGTGAAACTGCAGCATTACAGGAAATTTGTTAATACAATTTAAATGTAATTATCCTTGCATGAATTTAAAAATCAAGAACAAGTACACTTCAACTGACAGATGCTTTGAATATCAACTTAACAAGGTGTGTTTCCAGCACAAATATATCCACAGTTGTTTTGTAACAAACTATTTAAGTACATATGTCAAGAACTGCAGTTAAAGTGAATACAGTGACTGGAACAGCAGCTACCTGGAAGGAAAAATAAAAATGCATTCCCTTTGCCACAAATTTAAAGCAATGTTTTGGAAGACCAGTAAAACTGAGTTTGGTTAAGAAACGATTCTAGGAATCGGTTTACAAACAATCCCTTGTTTCAGCTTACATAAAATTAGTGGGTGCATTTAATAATTTTTTTTTTTTTTTTACTCCTTAAAAGGTCATAACCCTAACTGGGAAATATGTCAAGATCAAACAGCTTTTTTGCTGGTTTTTTTTTTTAAAAGGCATACAAATCAAAGCATTTAGACTGAACAACCTTGATACAGAGATTTCCTCCCTTATCCAGAGGAGGGAGGGGATCTTGAAATCTTTGCTAACTTGACTGCAAACCATGACATGGAATCAATAGCAACTTGTAACTCTAAATTTTAAATATTCTGAATTTTGACCGTCCATCACATTTGAATGTTTAACTTTTTGCTTTTTCTGTCACTGTTAAGTTACAGGTGAGAGATCCAACTAACAGGGATGTATTTCCAGGACTTCTGCATATTTTAGAAATCATCTGAATGTCTTTCATATTACAGTCCATCTTGTGGAAATATAAAAACAATCTTTTTACATACGCAGGTACGAGTTGCAAAATGTTCAAGCCAACATGCTTCTTGGTATGCAGAAGTGATGAGGCAGTCTCTGTAAAAGCACTGCAGATGTGACAGTCACTCTGCAGGGCAACAAATTCCCCCCAGGTGTTGGGAAGGGCTGGAGGGGACAAGGGAAATCACAGTTTTGCCTGATCATTCCTGTTATAGAAGATAGACTATGTACAGAATATATCTTTGTAAAGGACAATGTTGCCCACAGCACAGCTGCAGACTAAGGCTATGCCCAAGTAGAAGATGCAGTGTCAGCATACTGTGCTGACAAAACACTCCTCAGGGGGATCCAGATAAATTGGAAAAGCTGCCTTTTGTAACAGTATAGTAGAAAAAAGTCCCCACAAGCAAAACATGACCTCTTAGAAGAAAAATTGTGCCAGTGTGGATGCATGTATTCCAGGGGCTTCTCCCAGAAGAGCTGTACAAGGCAGGGATCAAATCCCCCCTACCACCGACAGAGTTTCAATACAGAAATCACTAATATAAAAGAAATTTCTCTTGCATGCCAAAACTTAAGTGTATTGTTTAGGAAGTCCTGTTCTCAAAAAATGAGTACATTTCAATAGCCAGGTTCTGAAACTCATCACTGGAAATATGTCCAGCCCAATTATAGTTCACAGTATCACCAAAAGTATGCCAATTCTCATTTAATTTTAGAATGAGGCTATTAAAGGAATCTAAATACGGCAGCTGTTCTGAAATAGGCTAAAAACTGGTTACAGAAAGTAACATTTGAGTAAAGAATCAGTATATTTTGATTATGTGAAGAATGTAAGACATTCGACTAAATCTACCTGGTCCCTGGTTGTGGTAACTCTCCAAAGTGGAAAATAACTTTACTGCAGAAATCCATTAAAAAAGTCTTAGATGTATGTTTTAAGATGTGGTACTTAAACACATCAGAAGAGGGTTTAAACAACTTAGGGATTTGTACCAAAGCCTGTAGAAGAATATTTCCAAAAACTTGAAATGGCCTTCAAATCAGAATCTTAAGTTCATTAGTATAGATAGGTTAGGGATAGTTTCTCAGAGCCCACTCCTGATGACTGAGAGGTCTGAAGTCTTCTAGTTTATCTTGAGGCTAATCAACTTTAAAAAAATCATCCAAACTTATCTGTAGCAGTGGCTAGACTGCCTTCAACAGCAATTCTCAGGCTACAATAGTTCTTCCTATGTCAGAAAATTATGAGCCTGCCTTCAAATTCTAAATACCCAAAGCATGTAGATTCTTCCTTGTAATCCTATGAGGATTTATTGATCAGCCAATTCATTTTTCCATTCTCCATTTAGAAAAAAATGTCCCACTCGAAAGTGTCAGCAAACACTAAGGACTTCAGTTCTTAGGTATGGCGTGGTGCCTACTAGTGAGGGCGACAGTTTTAGTTCTTCCCAAATCTGGCCAAGGAAGGACTGACACCACTGGATATTGAGGCATTCCAACCATGTGTCCATAAAACGGTTCAAAGCAGCAGTAGCAGCACCCTCCATGCTGGACCTCTCCAAAGCATAACACTGACCCACAGAGCTGACAGGAAATTTAGTCTCTGTACATACAACCCTGGCCTCTTCCTGCTAAGCATTTTAGTGAATGCCAAGGGAAAGCATGAGATTACTAATATTCATGTTTAAGCCAGAAACATCCTTAGGTATATTTCTAATTACCTGGAAGAACAAGTCCTATCATTTCTACTAAATATTCTGCATCTTCTACTGGTAGAGCACTTTGGGAATAACTGCAAAAAAAATCATAATTCCCTTTGATTTATCTCCCTATTTTTCCTTTGTTACCTTCTTTCCAAATTGCAATCAGTTTCTCCAGTGCACCAGAATCAGCCTTCAAAGTAACCATTTTGCACCTATCAGTCTACAAATTTAGCATGCTACTGGAACAGGGCATATCCTTAATTTCCTATTTTCAGTCCATTCACTACACAAGATGATGTAGTAGGACTCACTCATTTATAGAGTGCATACTATATTTCTCAAGGGAAGCATCTTTGGATTGATACAGACTGACAGGAATCTAAAGTCTTTTTTGGAAGTCTACTTTAAATATTTCCCCATGCTATTGATGTGGCTGACAAGTCTGCTGTTATTGCATCATGATTTAGCTATCTCATTTCATTGTCTGCATGACTAATAAGATTGGTTACCTTTACTAACCATTGACAACAGTCATTATAATCAATATTGATAATCACTCTGTTGGTTTCCAGGAGTAGTAGTAGTTTAACTACAGTGCACAGAGAATATAATTTTGACATTATTTACATTTTTATACATTTACACCACAGCTTAATACAAACAAATAGCACCATTAGCCTTTCACACATTCTTTCTAGCAAAACAAACAGCTAGATTACCTTCAAATTCAGGACACTGGAACCTCTTAGAACAAAAATATACCACCCCAAAGTCAGAATACTGTAACTTCCGATTTTAAAACCTACTTTTAAAAATGAATACATTCCTTTCATGGCAAGAGAAAGAAAACAAAACTGGAAATTCCCTAGGTATTTGAAAAATGTGTACATTTTAAAACCTTTGTCATGAGTTCTATTCAATGTGCACTACACTTAAACTAGGTTTTCAAAAAATTAATTTTGTTTTTGCTTACGAGTCTAATGTTTGAACTTATTTTTGCAGTAACCCTTAATGCATCCAATATATTCCAGTGTGCTGGAGGACATTAATACAAGATTGCCCAGGTGATGTGCAGCTATTATGGAGCAATCTCCTAACCAAGTGTAAAATTATCCAAGTAATGCAATTTCTAGGCAGATGAAGTCTCTCTCCACACATACTCATCAACACCATATTATGAACACAGCAAGGACTTTGCAAACCAGTATGTAAAAGATAATATCTGCAGATTCTATGAAAGGAAGATTAGAAAACAACTTTCAATGAAGAAATTGACAGTTCAGATAAGGAGATGGATAGCACCATAATGGATTTGCCCTAAGGTGCTAAAGGAGGTACCTTATTCCCTGCAAAGTGAATGCTATTTCTGAAGTGTATTGCAATATGTAAATGCAATTGTTTAATGGTTACCATTTGGTTCATTCATCTACAGAAAATGCATTCCCTCTAATATACGTTCAACTAACATTCAAATTACTGAACTATACATAATGTTACATAGTTTACAATTTATGAAAACAAAGCTTGAAAGAATATAATAAGATCATCTTAAGTAAGGTGGGATGTTTTAAAGGGCTAATATCCAGCTATTTCAATTTTTATGCTAATGGTCCAAGTGCTTTTTTGTATCACCAAGAAAAAATGTAAAAAAAATTTAAAAACAAATGACAGTCCTCACAGCTTCTTAGTATCCTTAGGGTCACTGACGTGTCAGACTTCCATGCTTGCAGTACTGGATGTATAAAAGTGTAAATGACACATCAGGAGACTTGCTGTAATTCAGATACTAGATCAGATGCCCATTATAGTGAATCTTAGTACATCAGTCATTCAGTGTGTGTTCCCTTTTCTTCTGGATCATTTTAAAAAGTTTATCCCTTCCATACTGACCCACTCCTACACCTATGCCTGTGGGTTATTTGCATCCACTTGCTTGCACTGTGGTATGCTGGTATTGTTATTCACAGTTCACTTTCCAGTTAAATTAAAGATCTGGAAAACGGCTGGGGTCCTCCTTGTAGTCATCAGGAATAGTGAAGATGGATTCATCAAACTCATCATAGCGAAACTCCTGAAAAGTCACAGTGGCTGTGATGGTGGGAAACACAGGTATGTCTAGACAGTGCACAGAATGGCACAGTAGAAAGCAGAGAAACACAGGTTACTCACATTTTAATACCGACTTACTAGTTTATTTAATACATTAAGCCTAACTTTAGATTTAAATATTTTGTACAACCAAGATTTAAAAAAAGTTAAGCTGTAAAAGCTTAAAAAAGAGGGTCTATAGAGAAAACCCTATCAGAAAGAAGTCAAGCAAATTCAGAGAGGAAAAAACAAGAAGTAGCACAGTGCACCATTTAAAGAGAGATTAGGAGTCTAATGTTTGACACAAGGGTGTCTATAATATGAATCAATATTACTATATTTACTCACATACCACATGCAACTTTGTCACAGAAATCAGCCCTCCAAAACTGGTTAGTTGGAATAGCTGTAAAAATGGTTGCCACTTTTTTTTTCTGGCTAAGCAACCAGCAGGACCAGAGCCAGAGTTAAACCTCTCACAGCCACTACTAGCTGAGCACTGTAGCTTGTGCCTGAACTGAGCTGGCTCAGGGCAAGCGAGTGGCTACATGCAGTCTGTAGTATCTTGATAAGGCTTGAGGTATGGAAATAATATTTTATTATTCACGGGAACTTATATAAAGAACTATTTACAGTAAAAAAGTAACAGTCTTATTACTATCCTTGCAAGAGTCTGGGGCCTATACTTGTCGCTGTCCTGCCACACTAGGAAGTTCCTGTTGCCTCACTCAAACAATGGGACACCAAGTTCTCAGGACGCTCTAGGTTTCCAGGAGGACTTACTCTATGTTATGAAAATGGCCATGGCTCTACAAAAAACATTTTTCCTACATTCTGCCTGCCAAAAACAAGGTGTGCCCCTTACTTGAGGGCGCATAGTATGCAAGAAAACAGGAAGGGTGCTTTTTCCCCTGTGTTCTTTGTACAGATTAATATACTGAACAACATACTGATCTCAGGATAATCCAGAGATGTGGTCTGGATGAGCAACAAGTTCCAGGTGCCTTCAATAAACATTGGAATCTAGTAGATGAGAAAAACTGAGCTGGAAATTCTCAGTATTATAAAATCTTATTTCGTAAGTGTTCCATATTCTGTTTCCATTTGGGCAACAGAGTCTTCAGACTGGTTAAACACCACAGATATGTACTACTTCAAATATGAGAAAGGCTGTGGTTGCGGTTTCTGATTAGAGGCTTTATGGGCAGTCATGGCAGACATTTAATTAAAGTAAAAACCAGCCTACACAAACTTAAAAACCAAGGGCAAATTCAGCCCTCAGAGCTAACAGGTAGTTTCTACTAAATAGTGCAAAAGTTGTGTACATGTAACAAGTTAATGTTTAGTGTAAAACCAAAGAAACAGTTTCTCTTTGGACCTCAGCTGCTATTTGTTAACTGGTTGGCTATGCTTTTTGATGGTATATGCGAGAATGCTTAATTTTTAAAAGAACTATTTAAGTTGGAGCCTTTTACTATAAAAATCAGGGTCATTGCACAAAAAATGAGTAAATGTATTTTACCTCTTTTCTGTTGGTAACAATTAGAAATTAAAACTTGGTGTCCACTGGTGATCTACATGAATCGTGAGGTGCAATGAAAACTAAATATACAGTGGGCGCGTCTACATGAGACGCTTAATGCGCAGTAGCCTAATAACACTGTGCAGTAGTGCACTGCAACACAGACACTGCTAATATGCTACTGTGAAGTATTATTAGTCTACTGCGCAGCAGTGTCACTAAAAAGTTGTTTGCCAGGGCTACATTAAGATTGCAGAGTTACTGTCAGGGGCTTCTGCTATTCACTTATACTCCAGATGATTAAGAAAAAGGAAAGTTCTTTCTTGGTTGGTGGCTGTTTTCCATCTCAGATGCCACATTCTTAATTCTGTCACTAGTCCTAGCTGGTATTTCTTCTATTTGCCAAGGCCCAATTATATTCCTCTAAAGCCTAATGCAGTGAATGAGAACTGTCTTTCCTTAAAATAAATAAACTCAGTTAAATT